AAACAGTACGTACTTCACTTGTTTCAAATAATATATATATTCAAAACAAGTTAAACGTATGTACAATAAAGTGTTCACACTATAGAGATACAGGCATATCGTAACACTATTTACATATGGTTTTATACTTGTCAAAAGTCCACTTAGGCATATTCAATTACTTTAGAATTTTAGTTGACAAGTCGAACTATCTTCTCTATATTACTATCGTACTCGTATTCTGTGTGTGATTCACTTAAGGTATAGTTGAGGCGCAAGTTACTGTAATTCGTTTGGTCCTCTTTCTTCTGAAGATCCTCTCTTCCTTTTGTCAAAGTGTACCCAGGCTGATTCAATTACTTTATAACCACGCTTTGACGGAATAAAATTATCCTTCTTATCTTTTTTTATACTGTTAGTTTCACTCTAACATATTAAACGTTAGGCCTATCACCTTTGCGGTACTTAACTTCGCACAACTATATTCTCTTTCACTATTACCTGTCTTCTGTTGTCTGTCTACTGCTTCGCGCCTGTATCATGCTATTTATATCTTTATTACATAGTCGTCTGGCCACTTTCTATATTCTCGACACCAATTAGTTACTAACAAAACCTTCTAAAATCGTCTGATTTTAACTCTTATTATAACAAAACTTAAAAATAATACAAATATTCACTCACAAAACTAAATTAATCAATACTATCTGAACGAAACAGTCTTTTATATCATGACATTAGCACTTGGTAGATTCTTGGTTGTGAAAATTAGCCTTAAAGTTAAGTACAAGGGAACGAGATTATTATATTCCATAGGACAACGTTAACCACTGATTTAAAAATAAACTTTGTTTAAAAAGCAATGACAATATAAAATAAAGCATATGATGTCATTTTAAAAATAAGAAGGTGATACAGCAGAGAAATTTATTTCATATCAGCATCCTGTTTTCCAGAAAGTTTTAGTTGTTACTGTGAGATACGACAGACCGAGAGAATCTTATCATGTTATCTTTCTATTGATTGTACTATTAAATATTATTTATGACCACTGTGTATTGCAAATAATTCTTAGCCTTACCTCTCGAATAAAACGAATCACGCATCATCTGACCTTGTTGACCGACATTAGAAGTTATTTTGGGTTCTGATTTCATGTAGCATCATCACGTTATTGTTGTTTACCGACATTAGGTGTTAGTGTCAGGTTCTAATTTCTTGTAGCATCGTCACGTTATTGTGTTGGTGAAAGAATAGCCCAAGTGTTAATGGCTGGCGGTATTGACCAACTTCCTTTCCTCTAGATTAGCCCCCAGTGGCACAGCGGTATGTCTGCGGACTTACAACGCTAGAAACCGGGTTTCGATACCCGTGGTGGGCAGAGCACAGATAGCCCATTGTGTAGCTTTATGCATAATTAGAAACAAACAAAATTAAACAAATATTCTAGATTATCATTTATAAA